GTCGTCAGAATGCTCGAAGCTCGGGTGCTGGATCTAGTCGAGCTTCTGATGTCAAAATTACCGACTTGACGGAGGATGATCCCTTCTCTCGAGATCGGGCTCCATCGTCAAGACCTCTTACCGCACCCCGCCGCTCTACTCGGCTTCAAGGGACTTCAACTCCCTCCTCATCTCATGGCCCTCCCGGGTCTTATTCCCAGGTGTCGGCCTTCCCCTTTTTGGGCCCGTATGAAACCGAAATCGACGGGGCAGTTTATCTAGAGAGGGCTTTTACCCTTTGACAGTGATTGGGAGAGTCATCCAGTGGATCAAGCTTTGATTATTCTAACCCTCAGCAAAGCATCCATACTTGCCTCGACGATCTCCACCAGGTCAAAATCATAGTCGGTTTTCAATTTCTAATGTCGCTTCCTGCCAACACTGCTGTTGACTTTTGACAAGTTTTCAACCGCTTGGTTGTTTTTTCGGGTAGAGTCGCTGACGAAATTAACCATCTCCATGGTCATTATGCTCCTTGGGACGAGTTGGATTAGACCCTCGCCTCTCTAGATCAAGCCAATACGTTGTTGGCAAATGCCCAACACGACCAGGAGGTTGAATGGAGAAAATCCCGAGATGACCTCGCTGCTCTACAAAGGAAGCTCGACGAGGCTAATGATCGGTTATCTAACTCCAAATTCCTGGCCGCTGAGTTTAAGAAGACTCAGGACTATGTTGATCTACAGAATGCCGCCATGGAATGTGGCGTGTCCTGATCCCTCCGCCAAGTCTCTGAAAAGCATCCCGATGTTGACTATTCCTTTCTTCAGGAGCGTTTTCGGGATGAATGCAATGCTTCTGATGACATGGATGATAGTGACGACGACGAGTAGGGGTCGAATCATCTGTTGATGTTTTCATGCTTCAAAAAGCTTTCTATTTCTGTTGTCTTTGTTACCATTGTTAGTTGTATGTCGGAATTTTCAATGAAATCCCTTTAAATTTCTATTCGTTTAAGGCTCTTCATTTTGGCGGAGTTTACTTTGTCTGCTCTTAAGTTTTTGTGGGTTTCTAACATGCTGATTACATCTAGTAGTTTTATACCCTCCTCTTGCGCTCATTGGGTTCTTTGTCCGCCTTGTGTTTTAACCGTGCTAGGCCAAGTGGCTGCTTTTGGTTTAGCCTTTGATTGAGATTTAGTCGATCCGTAATATTATCTTGCCCCCACTTGATGAACTCATGAGAAGTAGTGACAATGGTTGCTTAAGTAAGTAATATGAATTTCATTAAACTGAAATAAATGTATAACCATAAAAAAGAAAAAGAAAAACAAACAGAAAAACAAAAATAAAAACTGCCTCTAAATCCTATCTCATCTGTCACTGATGTGGTCAAAATTACTTTGAAGTAGATGCCCCTGAGTTGTAACCCCTTAGCGAGGTATAGTAGCACACGTGTGATACTCGTTTCTTTCCTCTGACTTCACCTACCCCTCTAGGCGTTGAGAATTTCATAGATTGGTGGTATGTCGAGGGTATTGCCTTGAGCGTGTGTATGGTCGGTCTTCCCAATATTGCTTTGTAAGAAGACGAGTAATCGACGACGAGAAATTCTACCACTTTGATGACGCTTTTCAGCCCACTTCCAAATGTGACTGGTAGCTCCACTCTTCCTTCCGGAATGACTTGCTCCCCTCCAAACCCTACTGCTCTTAAGGATTTTCTCTCCTAGGTACATAGTCTTGTAGGCTGCTAAGGAGATGATGTCGGCTGAGTTGCCCTCGTTGACCAAAATCTGGTGCACCTTTGTGTTGGCTACTTGAAGGTGATAACCAACGCATTGTTGTGTGGGTGGAAGAGGTGAACAGTCTCAACTTCCGAAAATTCTATCCTTATGGGTCGTTCGGCAAAAGCTGCGTGGTAGACCTCATATTACCCTAGGCCCATTCTTGCTTCCCGTACACTTGTATTTCTCTTCCTGCCAGACTCCTGTTCTGTTGAACCTCCAATGATCGTACGAATTTCCCTGATAGGGGATTTGTTGTCATTTTCCCTATTCGGAGTTGCTTTGAGATCATCCACATATTCTTTGAGGTACCCTTTCCGGATGAGCCCTTCTACCACTTCCTTGAGATCAAAGCAATCCTGTGTAACATGTCCATGGTCTATTTGGAGGAGGCAGTATCGCCCTTTGCTTCTCTTGTTCGGAGGCGCCTTCATCCTCTCTGGCCATTTAAGTAGCTTTTGGTCTTTGATCTCCATCAATACCTGCTCCAATGGAACCGTGGTCGGAGTATACTTTTCAAACTTCATAGGTAGATCCTTCTGTCCGACGACCCGATCTCGCTTCTCCCACTTCGAGCTTAGGGGCTTTTCCCTTGATCTCTCTCTTTTCTGGTCGGCGCGCCTCCCTTCAGACTCTTTCTTTGAATGGAAGAACTCCCCAGGACTTATGTATTTCTAAGCTCGGCTTAGTGCTTCCGCGAAACTGCTCTGAGTTTTCTTTCTGAATGAAAATTACAGGTGCTCGTCCTTGATGCCTGACATGAATGCTAATAGCGATACTGCATCAGTTAGACCCTCCATCTATAGCTTCTTCTCGTTGAACCGTGCCACCTAATCATGGAGGCTCTCCGCCGTTCTCTGCTTAATGGTTAAGAGATACGCCACCGGCCGACTCTGATTCCAACCTCCTACAAACTGGGTTACAAATGCCCTGGCCAAGCTTTTGAAGCTTGAAATCGACCCTCGCTTTAGTTGTCGGAACCAAACCCTAACTGATCCATCTAGGGCGAAAGAGAAAACGCGGCATTGGATTGCCTCTGAGACCCTGTAGATGTCCATCCATTCTCGGTAAGCATCAAGATGATCAACCAGGCCAGTCGTTCCGTCGAACTGCTTTAGAGATGGTAGCTTGAATTTCGGAGGGACTTTCTCCCCCATTATCTCCTCCGTGAACGAGGAATCTGCTTGATCTATTAGTTCTTCCAGGTCGAAGCCTTTCTCTTTCAAGCTTACTTGCTTCTTGGATAACTCGGGCCCGCTCTCCAAGCTTTTCTTTGTCAAAGTCCCCTTGCCCGAGATCTCCTCAGGTATTCGGCTCATCTTTGCCCTCAGCAGGTGTTGGAGACTTGGGTCGTCCCTTGTCAGCATTCGGCTGGCCTTGCGAGTCAAAGATCCGAGTTCTCCGCTTGTGGTTTCCCTCCAGTTTTAATTTGCTCTGCGCACTGTTTGACGACTCATCTGCCTCACTCAGAGCCGAGCCCTTTCCCTTTCGGGGGTCTCTGACAAGTGGCGGTAGACTTGCTTCCCTCTGTTTCAATTGTTGAAGCAGTTGGGTCATGCGCTGGTACATCCCTTTGACCTTCTCCTCTAGAACAACAAATCGGTTTTCGGACTGCACCTGCATCTCGGCCTATAGATCCTCTGGCAAGCCTTCTCAACACTTCGGATCGGCTCGGCTCGGCTCAGCATCAATGCCTCCACTCAGAGGGTCGTCCATGTTCAACCTCCTCTTTAGGTGGCAGTCGCCATCGGAACGCTGCGGGGCTTTTCCGGGTTCATGTTTCCTTGATCGAACGTGCTTTGTATCGTCCCCACAGACGGTGCCAAATGTTGATGTTGGGATTCTGGTAGATCGGATCTCTCTGCTCCATGCACCAACTCGAATACTTCAGGATCA